TGCAGCAAAGCGGAATATATTGGATTGGAAAGGAAGGTTGAAAATCATTGAAGGGGTCGGTCAGGGGCTTTTGTACCTCCACAAGTATTCTAGACTGAAAATCATCCATAGAGATCTAAAAACGAGCAATGTTTTATTGGATGCGGACTTGAATCCCAAAATTTCGGATTTTGGAACCGCCAGAATTTTTGGAGAGAATGAAATGCGCGGAAGTACAATGAACATTGTGGGGACATAGTAAGTTGAAGGAACATCTTCTTGTTTGTTGTTTTGCTCCAAGTAATATCCAATCTCTAATCTCATGCTTAAGCTAATGGAGATGATTACTTTTTGCGAGAAAAAAAGTGGTTATGTGTCTCCTGAATATGCCATGGACGGGGTTTACTCCGAGAAGTCTGATGTATTTAGCTTTGGCGTCATGATTCTTGAGATCATAAGTGGAAAGAAGAACACTTCTTTCTATGATGCGGATCGTCACTTGAACTTAATAGGACATGTAAGTTACCTGTACAATGCAGTTTTACTTGTGTCATTTCCTTCAGTCCAGTAATTTGGGAATGATCATTTGTCACATTCCAGGTCTGGGATCTATGGACAGAAGGAAGAATTTCAGAAATCACAGATTCGTGTTTGGATGAAACGGTCTCAACAAGGGAAGCACTAAAATATGTTCACGTTGGTTTATTGTGTGTGCAAGAAAAAGCAGCAGATAGGCCAACAATGTCAGATGTGATATCTATGCTCCTCAAGGAATCAATGGCTCTCGCCACTCCTAAGCGACCAGCTTTTGCTGAAATTATGACTCTTAACAATACCAAGTTACCTGAAAACCCAGAATTTTGTTCTTTGAACGAGGTCACAATTTCAGATGTGCAGGGTAGATGATTATTTCTTGGCCAGGCGTATATTTTCTTGCAGGGTAGAGAAAGGTGGGAAGCCGGCTGTATCCTCAAGTTAGGGGTGGCCATTGGAGATAATCAGGTCTCAATTCTTTTGTGGATTCGTTTGGGATTTGAGTTTGATGACTAATTATTCAAGTAATCAAACATTATTTTATTAATCAGGAGATGCCAAAGGAGCATACGTAGGTGAAGGGGTTGAATTTAGTTCTGTAAGTTAGGTTGTTAGCTACTTGTTAGAATTGTTCTATATTTTTGGTCTTTTGACTAGTTTAACTATCTTTGATTTTCTATTATCTTGTTAAGATTATTTAGGAAGTATTTGTGTTTTGATTGTATCTTTATCAAAGGGGAGATGATGAATGAAAAATGATGAACTATTTTTTTGCAACACTTACAGGTTGCAAAGCTAATTTCAAGTGTTGTTTCTTAGTTTACACTTTAAATTCTAATTATTACACATTTTGCATTTTCTTTTTGACCATATAACAGTTTTAGTTAAAAATTCTATGGAAGGGCAAAACATTAATATTTTAAGAATCGGACCAAATCAGTCAGTTCGATCGATCGAATCACAAACTAACCATGATACTGGTCCAATTCTATGAAAAACCCCAAAAAGTTAAAAAATCAGTCAAAATCAATCAAAATTGGTGAACCGGAATAAATCGCTTAAACAGGTCAAGTCCGATTTATGAATTTTGACTTGGGCCTTGGACTTTTCTTTTATAGGATACTCAATTGTTCGAGCTTCTGGGCTCTATCAAAGCCTAACAACGACAACTAATTGTTTGCTGCTACAATTAAGTTGGATGGTGGGCCATCTTTTCTCGAATTAAAGAAAATACCTTAGTTGGTCAAACTTCAAAACAAAATGACTAATTCAAGTAAAATTTAAAAATCCCTTGGGTTGGCTCGGATGGTATCGAGATAACCTAGTTAGGTCTTAAGGTCATATGTTCGAGTTATCTCTTTACCGCTTATATATTCTTGAGGGGTGGGGTGCACAGACACAGGGAGATTAGTCTGGCAAAATTGGGATACTCCCTATGTTAAAAAAAAGGGCAAATTCCACTTTACCCCCTGTGGTTTAGCATTTTTTTACATAACTCTCCTATGATTTCAAAAACTATATGTCAAAGTGACGGGAATGACCATTCGTAACGAAGTCACCTAAAATGTCAAAAATACCCTTATGTAAAGTTGAAAATTATTTATTAACCAAGGGGGGTTATTTGTATATTTTGAAAACCATAAGGGGGTTATATGATAATTTTAAAAATCATAAGGGGGTTATATACTAAAATATAAAAATTATATGGGGTTAATGTGTCATGTATTTATAAGGGTAATTTCGATATTTTTAGAAGTTCCGTTACGAGTGACTATTTCCGTCACTTTGACACTTTAATCCAAACCATGAGAGGGTTATGTATAGCTTTTGAAACCATAAGGGGGTTATGTAAAAAAAAAAAGGCTAAATCACCATGGCGGTAAAATGTAATTTGCCCTAAAAAAACGAAAATCTTAGCATAGATTTTTGTCCATTAAGATTGGCTCAGATGGTCTCAAGTTGGCCTAATTAGATCCCGAGATCGTGTGTTCAAGTCATCTCTCTACTGCTTGTGTATTCTTGGAGGGGGGTGCACGGGCGCAAGGAGATTAGTCTGGCAAAACTGGGATACTCCCTGTGTTGAAAAAAAAACTAAATAAACTCTTAATTCTCTTCTCTTTTAAGAATTTTCACCTCTAGGAGCCACTCTACAAACTCTACTCATCTTCTCTTTTCTTTTTTTCTTTTTTTTTTTTTTTTTTTGCATTTTTCCCTCTTTTCTTTTACATTTTTAATGGTGTAGATGATCATGAAGTTGAACTTAGTAGATAAAGAAGCAAACTCGTTTTTCCTTTCCTCTTCTATCTTTTGTTTTCATACTCATTAATTTTTTCTACTTTTTTTGGAGTCAATTTTACAAATTCTATCAGATTTGTTTTTGAGTTGGGAAAGTTAAAGTCTTCCTTCTTTAAGTTAAAATATTGGATAGATTTGTTCATAATTTTGTTGATTCTTAATTTTTTTTAAGAAGTACTTTTTCTTTTTTTGGTTGATGAATTAAAAGATACTAAATCAGTAAATCTTCTCTAAAAGATATTTAAAATTTAGGATTTTTGTGTTGATTATACATATTTCTGCTTATTTGTTATTATTTATTTTTAAAATAAAAAATAAATTAAAAAATTAATGGATCGGATTTGAACCGATTGAACCCTAACCCGACCACTTTACTAATTTAACCATCAGTCCGAGTTTCGAAACATTACAAAACACAGTAATAATCACCCTACGAGCTACTAGATTCAACCTAATTTGTAAATCTCACCAATCTTACCAACTAGTCAAGAGGAATAATAACTTTTTAAACGGTGATTGGAGAAATCCTAAATTGAATCTTGGACTGATTCAATAACTTTTGAGCAATTTCGGGTGATGTAGATGCGGGGTATGATGGTATCATTGCAATCTCCTAGATTTTTTCCCCCAGTTTTCTTCCTGAAAATACATGCCATTCTCTGTGGATATTACTCAGGGGACCGACCCACACGCAAACACTTGAAGTGCCGCCCAGACTTCAGCTCCTGTTGTCTCCAGCGGTACCCGTTGGGCGATGCCCACCGGCTACATGCTTCTGGCCGTCTTTTTCTTTTTTCTGGGTACAAAACGAAAGAGGGAAGTATAATTTCCTGGGAGTGCCTGTCGTTTTCAGTTGCTTAATAAAGCAAAGAGCTTTGTCTGAATTCTCCATTATATACCGATAATCAAAAGCTTTTTCTTCTAGCGAACTTCTATCTTACGGCTTGGACTCAACAGTCAACAAACTCTGAAAATATCCTCTAGGAGGACCAGTACTAATAGACTAGTTCTATTTCGTTTCTTTACTACTACTACAACTATTCCCGTCCCGAACGGGCCACCGCAGTTATGGTTCCAATTCTCTGAGCAACGACGGACAATGAATGAATGGTGGGAATTGGGATGGCTGGCAAGCAGATGATGGTGTTCCAAAGTCTTAGTCAAGATAAACGCGCTTCTAAGGGTACCTTTTTCCACAATACTTGGATAACATAACAGGGCAGCATCAAAGTGCTTGATCTTGACAATGGAGGTGGGGTGTTGGGAAATTACGCGACCAAATTGCTTCATTTTTGAAACAGGTGGAACTAACTGTATTTTGAGTAGTATAAGAGATCATTTTAGTCTACCCTCCGAATATTGGAGATCAAAATTGCAACTCTCTAGAACCACAAAAATAAGATATCCAAATATGGACAATAATCCACTACATGGATTCTGTATGTAAATTTTGTCACCTAAAAGTTGCGTCATACAATACAAGGAATCCAATTCATCCAAATTTCAATTAAATTTATGTAAATCATCAACTATATATACGTTGCAATTGCTCTGGCAACCGTGCAGAAAATATATCCAAAAATAGCTGCTGCATCTTCAAATTTTTCTCTCCAAGTCGCTTACATAAAAAGGATTAAAAGCTATTTTCAAAACTATCTTTGGAGAGACCCAAAAAAAAACACACACACACACACACACACATTAAAATTTGAAAAGCTAAACTTGAGTCTTGAATGTGATTTCTCACCCTTACTTGAGTCTTGAACCATGGAGATGGATCGCAAACTTGAGTCTTGAATGTGATTTATTAGGTCCTAAGACTCCCAATCCGTGGGAAGGAAATAGGAACAGGGACCCGCGAGAGAGCAATGATGTTAATACGATTGGCAGTTAGATGTACAAGTGTTGCGAGAATGTTTGTACTCGACCGAGTCTCATTAGAAGATACTTCTTAGTCTTCCATGACTTCATTTCTTTTCTTTCTATCCCTTTTTTATAGATATGATTAAATCTTGTTTTTAAATACTCCTACATAATTTCCTTTCCTTCCTTAAATATGATATAAACCTTTGCATAACCCAAAAGCCAAGACGTCCTTCCCTGTATAAATAAACTCATGCATAGGCTATAGATGAGAATTGCAAACCTTCACTGCTCTCGTATTTTCAAAGCGCAAAAAGAAGTAGTGAGAAATGGGATCATTTAAGATCTCCTTAGCATTATTTAGCTTCATTCACCTTGTAATCTTCTGGCCATCTGGAGCTCAAAACTCAAAACAGGATTATCTCGATGTTCATAACGCAGCTCGTGCCCAAGTTGGTGTTGGCCCGATAGCTTGGGACGACACGGTGGCTGACTATGCACATGACTACGCCTATCAGATTATAACCTACTGCAATTGGACGCGATCTGGGGGCCCTTACGGTGAGAACTTAGCTGAAGGCAGCGGAGACTTCACGGCCGGGGATGCCGTCAATCAGTGGGTGAGTGCGAGGCAATACTACGATTACGACTCCAACGCATGTGCTCCAGAAACGGAGGAGTGCGGGAACTACACTCAGGTGGTTTGGAACAGCTCAGTTGGTCTGGGCTGCGCTAGGGTTCAATGCACAAATGATGATTTGTAGTTCGTGATTTGCTGTTATCATCCCCGTGGCAACTACATTGGTCAGCGTCCTTATTTGAAGTTATGATCCCCGTCTAGACGTGTTATCTTTGTCTTTCTCCGTGCTTAGTCCTCTCATACCCTTTCTTAAGTGATAATTCTTAGCTTAACTTGAATTTGAACTTCTAGAACAGACTTCGATAACATGCATGCAGGTGGAGTAATAAAGATCAAGGGGTACATCACAAATCTCTCCATCTAATTAAAAAAATAAATGAACTCGATATGTTAGGGGGGAGAAAAGGAAAGAAACAAATAAGCATAAACCAAAAAGGGGCTTAATTGAACGCATCTTAGGATGAAAGTTAGATTTTTGGAGCATAGTTAGGCCGATTCATAAAAATGAAGGAGACCAGGCCCTCAACCGATGACAAGGCTGGATTAAGAAATGATGAGGCACAGATCGGCACAAAACACGGATTCCTAACATTCAATTAGTTGCTTTAAGTTCATGTTAAATGAGAGACTATGCAATGAAAGAAAGTATATGAAAGAGTACAACTTGCTGATTGCAGGCTGCTGCTTCTGGCCCTTCAGTTGCTCCCACATCTGGCTCTCCTTCATTTCCTGTTGGCCCATCACCTGCTCCCGCCCCTGGTTCTCCTTCATTTCCTGTTGGCCCTTCACTTCCCCCGCCCCTGGCTCTCCTTCATTTCCTGTTGGTCCTTCACGTGCTCCTGCCCCTGTTTCTCCTTCATTACCTGCCGGCCCTCCCAGTGGAAGAAAGAAATCGAAGAATTTAAGGGTGAAGTTATATGTTGTTGGTGCTGCCATAGCGACTTTTCTAGCAGCTCTTGGATTACTTTTCGGGTGTTGCAAATTGCGAAAGAGAAAAGGCAACCTTAGAAAATTCATGGGTCCAGAAAGGCTAGATCTTGATGACAGAGGGGATGATGAATCACTGTTCTTCAGTTTTACAAGCATAGAAGTTGCCACAGATCATTTTTCTGAGGAAAACAAACTTGGTCAAGGAGGATTTGGTCCTGTCTACAAGGTAAGCTAATTAAACATTTCTTGAAACGATTAACTTTTAAGTCCAAAAAGCCTATATATTTGCTTAATTTTAATGTTAATACATGGTTCAGGGTAAACTGGTTAACGGGCTAGAGATTGCAGTTAAAAGATTGAATAGAATGTCAGGACATGGAATACAACAATTCAAGAATGAAGTCAAAGTGATCTCAAAGCTGCAACATCGAAACCTTGTTAGACTTTTGGGCTCCTGCATTGAGAAAGAAGAGCGTTTATTGGTATACGAGTACTTGCCGAATAACAGTCTGGATTCAGTACTTTTTGGTATGTGTCAGAACTCTATGTACCTTCATTTGTTCTTGCTTATGTAAGTTACATGCTTACAACTATCAGAATACTCTAAAAATGCTTACAGATGCAGCAAAGCGGAATATATTGGATTGGAAAAGAAGGAAGAAAATCATTGAAGGGGTCGCTCAGGGGCTTTTGTACCTTCACAAGTATTCTAGATTAAAGATCATCCACAGAGATCTGAAAACGAGCAATGTTTTATTGGACGCGGACCTGAATCCCAAAATTTCAGATTTTGGAACCGCCAGAATTTTTGGAGAGAATGAAATGCGCGGAAGTACATTGAACATTGTTGGGACATAGTAAGTTGAAGGAATATCTTCTTGTTTGTTATTTTGCTCCGAGCAACATCCAATCTCTAATCTCATGCTTAAGCTAATTGAGATGATTACTTTTTGCGAGAAAAAAAGTGGTTATATGTCTCCTGAATACGCCATGGACGGGATTTACTCTGAGAAGTCCGATGTATTTAGCTTTGGAGTCATGATTCTTGAGATCATAACTGGAAAGAAGAACACTTCGTTCTACGATTCGGATCGTCACCTGAACTTAATAGGACATGTAAGTTACCGGTACAATGCAGTTTTACTTGTGTCATTTCCTTCAGTCCAGTAATTTGGGAATGATCATTTGTCACATTCCAGGTCTGGGATCTATGGACAGAAGGAAGAATTTCAGAAATCACAGATTCTTGTTTGGATGAAACGATCTCAACAAGCGAAGCACTAAAATATGTTCACGTTGGTTTATTGTGTGTGCAAGAAAAAGCAGCAGATAGACCAACAATGTCAGATGTGGTATCTATGCTCCTCAAGGAATCAATGGCTCTTGCCACTCCAAAGCGACCTGCTTTTGCTGAAATTATGACTCTTAACAATACCAAGTTACCTCAAAATCCAGAATCTTGTTCTTTGAACGAGGTCACAATTTCAGATGTGCAGGGTAGATGATTATTTCTTGGCCAGGCTTATATTTTCCTACTTTGTTTCACCAAGCTGTGGGTTAGGACAAATTTTAGTCCTTAAGATAGGAATAGCCCAGGACAAAAGGACGTACCCGTTGTCGACTGACTGACGGATGTTGCAAGTTGTAAGTGGTAATTGCATACAGAGGAAGGTGAGAAGCAGGCCGTGTCCTCAGGTCAGGGACTCAGGGGTGGCCACTGCAGATAATCAGTCTCAATTCTTTTGTGGATTCGTTTTGGTTTTGGATTTGAGTTTGATGACTAATTATTCAAGTAATCAAGCATTATTTTACTTATTAGTAATTTGACAACCAACTCACATTTGAGTGAGTTGACTACCACAGGTACTTGAAGTTCCTAGTTGCCGGCTCATATTTGGAGGATCAAATCACCTGGCATGCGACTCCTATAGCTTGCAATTAATCATGTTGATGAAAAATGCATACCTAGAGTATTTTTGACAGCAACAAAACAAAACATGTTATTAGAACTATCTTTTTGCCCCCTCAAAACGTGGACTTTGTATTGATGATGAACAAGAGAAATAGGGCAACATCGCTTTAACAAAACTGTTTGCTTTTAAGCAAGCCACAGAGCAAAAAAATTCTTTCATTTGATGTCCTTTCTGATCTTAGTTGCAAATTTGCTAAGCCTGCTTTGATTGTCATTTTTTGCGAAAAAAAAAATTAAATATTTTTTTATTCCATATACATCACATTACTGGAATATTAATAATTTTCACGAAAACCCTAAACAGTTGCAGCAGTCCAATCTAGTTATTACTAATTGACTAGTACCTTTTAGTTTTTCACATGTAGAGGAGAATTCACATTTTCTGAAAAGTGGTTTTAAAGCTAAAATATCTTCCAAGAGGGCCAGTGCTGTTGACCGGTTCTATTTAGCATTTTACCGCTGCAACTATTCCCTAGCGGGTCGTTCCAAAATAGTTGCATCTTCAAATTTTTCTCTCCAAGTCGCTTACATAAAAAAGATAAAAACTATTTTCAAAACAACCTTTGGAGAGAAAAAAAAAATTAAAATTTGAAAAGCTAAACAGAGAATGGTCAACGCCCCACAAAATTTCTCACACTTGCTTGAGTCTTGAACCATGGAGATGGATCATAAACTTGAGTCTTGAATGTGATTTAGGTTCTAAGACTCCCAATCCGTGGGAAGGAAATAGGAACCAAGACCCACGACAGCAGGGGCGAAGCAGGACTCGAGAGAGCAATAATGGGTTTGTTTGGATAGAGAATTATTTGTCAAAATTTATTTAATTATATCACCATTATAATTTTTAATACACCTTTTTATCTTCTCAATTATCTTTTTATCTCACATACATCACATCACAAAAAATGCTACAGTAAAAATATCTCAAATAATTTACAATCCAAACAGAGCCAATGATGTTAATACGCGTGGCAGTTAGATGTACAGGTGTTGCGAAAATGTTTACTATATGTATAGCACTTGTTTGTACTCGACCGAGTCTCGTTGGAAGATACTTCTTAGTCTTCCATGACTTATTTCTTTTCTTTCTATCCCCTTTATATATATATATAATTAAAGCTTGTTTTTAAATAATCCTACCTTCCTTAGATATGATATAAACCTTTGTATAACCCAAAAGTCAAAATTTTCCGACGTCCTTCCCTGCATAAATAAACTCATGCATAGGCTATAGATGAGAATTGCACAACTTCACTGCTCTCGTATTTTCAAAGCGCAAAAAGTAGTGAGAAATGGGATCATTTAAGATCTTCTTAGCAGTATTTAGCTTCATTCACCTTGTAATCTTCTGGCCATCTGGAGCTCAAAACTCAAAACAGGATTATCTCGATGTTCATAACGCAGCTCGTGCCCAAGTTGGTGTTGGCCCGATAGCTTGGGACGACACGGTGGCCGGCTATGCACATGACGTCGCCAATTACACGAAAAAAGACTGCAACTTAAGGCGCTCTGGGGGCCCTTACGGTGAGAACTTAGCTGAAGGCAGCGGAGACTTGACGGCCAGGGATGCCGTCAATCTGTGGTTAACGGAGAAGCAATTCTACGATTACAACTCCAACACATGTGCTCAAGGGCAGGCGTGCAGCCACTACACTCAGGTGGTTTGGAACAGATCAGTCGGTCTGGGCTGCGCTAGGGTTCAATGCACAAACAATGGTTGGTGGTTCGTGATTTGCAGTTATTACCCCTCTGGCAACTATATTGGTCAGCGTCCTTATTTGCAGTTATGATCTCCCTGTCTAGATGTGTTATCTTTGTCTTTCTCAGTGCTTAGTCCCCTCATACCCTTTCTTAAAGTGATAATTCTTCACTTAACTTGAATTTGAACATCTAGAACAGACTTCAATAACATGCATGCGAATGGAGTAATAAGGATCAAGGGGTACATCTCAAATCTCTCTATATAATTAAAAAATAATAATAAATGAACTCGATATGTTAAGGGGGAGAAAAGCAAAGAAACGAATAAGCATAAACCAAAAAGGGGCTTAATTGAACGTATCTTAGGACGAAAGTTAGATTTTTGGAGCATAGTTAGGCCGATGCATTGTGCTTGAGACCTGGAAAAATGAAGGAGACCAGGCCCTCAACCGATGACAAGGCTGGATTAAGAATTGACGAGGCACAGATCGGCACAAAACACGGATTCCTAACATTCAATTATTTGCTTTAAGTTCATGTTTAATGAGAGACTATGGAATGAAAGAAAGTACATGAAAAAGTACAACTTGCTGATTGCAGGCTGCTGCTTCTGGCCCTTCACGTGCTCCTGCACCTGGTTCTCCTCCATTACCTGCCGGGCCTCCCAGTGGAAGAAAGAAATCGAAGAATTTAAGGGTGAAGTTATCGGTTGTTGGTGCTGCCGTAGCGACTGTTCTAGCAGCTCTTGCAGTACTTTTCTGGTGTTGCAAATTGCGAAATAGAAAAGGTAACCTTAGAAAATTCATGGGTCCAGAAAGGCCAGATCTTGATGACAAAGGCGATGATGAATCACTGTTCTTCAGTTTCACAAGCATAGAAGTTGCCACAGATTATTTTTCTGATGAAAACAAACTTGGTCAAGGAGGATTTGGTCCTGTCTTCAAGGTAAGCTAATTAAACATTTCTTGAAACGATTAAGTCCAAAAAGCCTATTTATTTGCTTAATTTAAATGTAAATACGTGGTTCAGGGTAAACTGGTCAACGGGCTAGAGGTTGCAGTTAAAAGATTGAATAGAATGTCAGGACATGGAATTGAACAATTCAAGAATGAAGTCAAAGTGATCTCAAAGCTGCAACATCGAAACCTTGTTAGACTTTTGGGCTCCTGCATTGAGAAAGAAGAGCGTTTATTGGTATACGAGTACTTGCCTAATAACAGTCTAGATTCAGTACTTTTTGGTATGTGTCAGAACTCTATTTACCTTCATTCATTTATCTAAGTTACATGCTTACAACTATCAGAATACTATGAAAATACTGGGATCTGCCTTTTTTACAGATGCAGCAAAGCGGAATATATTGGATTGGAAAGGAAGGTTGAAAATCATTGAAGGGGTCGGTCAGGGGCTTTTGTACCTCCACAAGTATTCTAGACTGAAAATCATCCATAGAGATCTAAAAACGAGCAATGTTTTATTGGATGCGGACTTGAATCCCAAAATTTCGGATTTTGGAACCGCCAGAATTTTTGGAGAGAATGAAATGCGCGGAAGTACAATGAACATTGTGGGGACATAGTAAGTTGAAGGAACATCTTCTTGTTTGTTGTTTTGCTCCAAGTAATATCCAATCTCTAATCTCATGCTTAAGCTAATGGAGATGATTACTTTTTGCGAGAAAAAAAGTGGTTATGTGTCTCCTGAATATGCCATGGACGGGGTTTACTCCGAGAAGTCTGATGTATTTAGCTTTGGCGTCATGATTCTTGAGATCATAAGTGGAAAGAAGAACACTTCTTTCTATGATGCGGATCGTCACTTGAACTTAATAGGACATGTAAGTTACCTGTACAATGCAGTTTTACTTGTGTCATTTCCTTCAGTCCAGTAATTTGGGAATGATCATTTGTCACATTCCAGGTCTGGGATCTATGGACAGAAGGAAGAATTTCAGAAATCACAGATTCGTGTTTGGATGAAACGGTCTCAACAAGGGAAGCACTAAAATATGTTCACGTTGGTTTATTGTGTGTGCAAGAAAAAGCAGCAGATAGGCCAACAATGTCAGATGTGATATCTATGCTCCTCAAGGAATCAATGGCTCTCGCCACTCCTAAGCGACCAGCTTTTGCTGAAATTATGACTCTTAACAATACCAAGTTACCTGAAAACCCAGAATTTTGTTCTTTGAACGAGGTCACAATTTCAGATGTGCAGGGTAGATGATTATTTCTTGGCCAGGCGTATATTTTCTTGCAGGGTAGAGAAAGGTGGGAAGCCGGCTGTATCCTCAAGTTAGGGGTGGCCATTGGAGATAATCAGGTCTCAATTCTTTTGTGGATTCGTTTGGGATTTGAGTTTGATGACTAATTATTCAAGTAATCAAACATTATTTTATTAATCAGGAGATGCCAAAGGAGCATACGTAGGTGAAGGGGTTGAATTTAGTTCTGTAAGTTAGGTTGTTAGCTACTTGTTAGAATTGTTCTATATTTTTGGTCTTTTGACTAGTTTAACTATCTTTGATTTTCTATTATCTTGTTAAGATTATTTAGGAAGTATTTGTGTTTTGATTGTATCTTTATCAAAGGGGAGATGATGAATGAAAAATGATGAACTATTTTTTTGCAACACTTACAGGTTGCAAAGCTAATTTCAAGTGTTGTTTCTTAGTTTACACTTTAAATTCTAATTATTACACATTTTGCATTTTCTTTTTGACCATATAACAGTTTTAGTTAAAAATTCTATGGAAGGGCAAAACATTAATATTTTAAGAATCGGACCAAATCAGTCAGTTCGATCGATCGAATCACAAACTAACCATGATACTGGTCCAATTCTATGAAAAACCCCAAAAAGTTAAAAAATCAGTCAAAATCAATCAAAATTGGTGAACCGGAATAAATCGCTTAAACAGGTCAAGTCCGATTTATGAATTTTGACTTGGGCCTTGGACTTTTCTTTTATAGGATACTCAATTGTTCGAGCTTCTGGGCTCTATCAAAGCCTAACAACGACAACTAATTGTTTGCTGCTACAATTAAGTTGGATGGTGGGCCATCTTTTCTCGAATTAAAGAAAATACCTTAGTTGGTCAAACTTCAAAACAAAATGACTAATTCAAGTAAAATTTAAAAATCCCTTGGGTTGGCTCGGATGGTATCGAGATAACCTAGTTAGGTCTTAAGGTCATATGTTCGAGTTATCTCTTTACCGCTTATATATTCTTGAGGGGTGGGGTGCACAGACACAGGGAGATTAGTCTGGCAAAATTGGGATACTCCCTATGTTAAAAAAAAGGGCAAATTCCACTTTACCCCCTGTGGTTTAGCATTTTTTTACATAACTCTCCTATGATTTCAAAAACTATATGTCAAAGTGACGGGAATGACCATTCGTAACGAAGTCACCTAAAATGTCAAAAATACCCTTATGTAAAGTTGAAAATTATTTATTAACCAAGGGGGGTTATTTGTATATTTTGAAAACCATAAGGGGGTTATATGATAATTTTAAAAATCATAAGGGGGTTATATACTAAAATATAAAAATTATATGGGGTTAATGTGTCATGTATTTATAAGGGTAATTTCGATATTTTTAGAAGTTCCGTTACGAGTGACTATTTCCGTCACTTTGACACTTTAATCCAAACCATGAGAGGGTTATGTATAGCTTTTGAAACCATAAGGGGGTTATGTAAAAAAAAAAAGGCTAAATCACCATGGCGGTAAAATGTAATTTGCCCTAAAAAAACGAAAATCTTAGCATAGATTTTTGTCCATTAAGATTGGCTCAGATGGTCTCAAGTTGGCCTAATTAGATCCCGAGATCGTGTGTTCAAGTCATCTCTCTACTGCTTGTGTATTCTTGGAGGGGGGTGCACGGGCGCAAGGAGATTAGTCTGGCAAAACTGGGATTCTTTGAGTAGTATAAGAGATCATTTTAGTCTACCCTCCAAATATTGGAGATCAAAATTGCAACTCTCTAGAACCACAAAAATAAGATATCCAAATATGGACAATAATCCACTACATGGATTCTGTATGTAAATTTTGTCACCTAAAAGTTGCGTGCGTCGTACAAGGAATCGAATTCATCCAAATTTCAGTTAAATTTATGTAAATCATCAGCTATATATACGTTGTGATTGCTCTGGCAACCATGCAGAAAATATATCCAAAAATAGCTGCTGCATCTTCAAATTTTTCTCTCCAAGTCGCTTACATAAAAAGGATTAAAAACTATTTTCAAAACTATCTTTGGAGAGATCAGGAAAAAAAAAAGGGAAATTTGCCAAATTAGTTCCTAACATTTCCACAAAAAATTTTTTTAGTCCCCAACATTTAAAATCAACCAAAATCATCCCTAACATATAAATTATGATCCATTGTGGTCCTAATGCTCGTATTTGCTCATTTCTCCGACTGAAAATAACACGTCTCTCTCACATGGACATATTTTTAAGGACAAAACCGAAAACCACACTTCATTCTCGGTTGAAAGCAAAAGTATTCATTTTCACCTTTCCCCCCTAAAATTACAGTAACAAAAAACCCTAATTTTCCCCCTAAATTTTGGGAGGAAGCATATGGAGAAGTCATTGTGTACCTACTGTTGAATGGGGCTCCCTTTTTCTTTTGCTTTCGTGCCAACCAGACACCAAGCACCACAAGAACAATTGCCAGATAGCCCACGAATCTAATTGCCATGACAACTCCGCCCTTCATGTCCCCACCATTTCTGGACATTGTGATTGCAGTAAGATTTGGAGCAGGTGTAGTTAATCTTGCAGTGGGTTTCTCACGGGCAACCAGATGATGGTGTTCCAAAGTCTTAGTCAAGATAAACGCGCTTCTAAGGGTACCTTTTTCCACAATATTTGGATAACAAGGCAGCATCAGAGTGTAACGCTCATGAAATGAGCGGCAAGGAACAGGACCCATTTTGTCCTATAGCCACTCATGAGATTTTTATTGTTTTTTATGCACCGATACATTTTCTTATTTTTTCCTTTTTAATAAAATGTAACTTTTAACTGCAACGATTTTTTTTCATAAAGCGAATTACGTGTTATTTGGCTCAATTAGGATTTAGGATTTGACGTTTTACATGAAATCCTAATTTTCAAACCATCACAGTATAACCCTTTAACCCTAATTTTAAAATCAAAATTCTTAAATCATATTACTAAAACTTTATTACTAAAATCCTATTATAAACCAGAATTATCAAAAATTTAATATATGATATTAGAATAATGTTAATTTTATAAATTTAGATGATGATCAAGAATAATGTTAATTTTATAAATTTATAAATTTTAATATCGTAATTGTGGCAACCCTAATATCAGAAATAACTCTCAAAGAACACCAATTTGATGATACATTTTTATTTTAGCAATATTCTTAGAAATTCGCCATTATTGCGCGACCCTAATATCAGAAATAACTCTCAAAGAACACCAATTTTATGATAGATTTTTATTTTAGCAATATTCTTAGAAATTCGCCAGGAAAAAAGGCGAATTTCTAGATTATCATATAAATTTATAACATTAACATTATTTCAATATCATATATTAAATTTTTTGATAATTCTGATTTATAATAGGATTTTAGTAATAGAGTTTTAATAATATGATTTAAGAATTTTGATTTTAAAATTAGAGTTAAAGGATTATACTGTGATGGTTTAGAAATTAGGATTTCATGTAAAACGTTGAACCCAAAACCCTAATTGAGCCAAATAACACATGATTCATTTTACCAAAAAAAAAACGTCACGATTAAAAGTTACATTTTATTAAAAAGAAAAAAAAAAGAAAGTAAAAGTATCGCCGCTCATCTCGTGAGCGGAGATGCATAAAAAACATTAGAAGTGGCTATAGAACAAAATGGGATGGGCCCTACTCATGAGCGGCTACAGAAAACAATGGAACAAAATGGGATGGGCCCTACTCACTTCCTTCTCCGCGCATGAAATGAGCGGCGAAACCTTTACAAAAATTTAAAAAAACCCCCAAATAAATGAAAATTAAAAGAGTTTTTATTAGAAGCATCAAATCGCAGATGCGGGGATCCCTTATTCAGCAATCCATCTCAAATAACACCAATTTTTGGACAAATTTCAATTTTAACGATATTTCTAGAAATTCGCCCTAGCGTCACGGCACAGAAAAAAATGTCTGGTCATTTTTTCGTCTCAGAAAATGCTTCGACAGGAGAAAATTCTACCACGTGATTGGTCTACATAACCATTAATTTTCCGTTGACGGACTAATTCACAATAATAATATCTCTCTCCGCTATCCAGAATGGAAGACAAGAAGGAACAATAACGGGAAACAGTCAAAGTTAGGGCGAAAGTAATTATAATCCTGTGGAGCTCAAATTCTGAGCTTTGGCACTAATTCTTGGATGATAAATCATATTAGAGAGAACATTTTTAACTCCAAAGTATATTGAAAGAAGAGGTATCATCTCAGTATAATTATTAAGAAAAAATTGAAACCTTCTCTGCGTAGACTGCAAAAGAAAGTTCTCGGGAGCCAGAGTAACTACTATAAGGGACAACTATGCAGGTAAGCAAATTATTACATTTTGGGAGATGGAGGGATTGGGTGATTTGAGAACGAGAGTGTAAATGAGAGATTCGAATTCAAATTCTTTCACTTACATTAAAAAAAAAAAAAGACTATTACACTTTGACTATAATAACAAAAAAAAAAAAACCCAACTTGTGATTGTTAAGTTCTAACCATTTTTCACAGCAATAATTTCTAAACTTAATTGATTTAGTTTTGTTTGCCAACAAATTGATCCTATTCCTACGGCTACAGGAGATAAATTATCGCCGACCATCAAAGCAAAAATTCATTGTTTATTCCAAGTAATACGATTTGAATCAAGAAAAGTAAAACCTGGCGGGGCTTGAATAATGAATTTATTTGGTTGAGGTCCTCAAAAACATGGGCAACATCCCATGTCTTCAACATTTCGCCTATAAAAGGCAGAGGCATTGCCCAGTTTTCTCATCAAGCAAGCTCTTGAAGAAAGTTCAAACTCAAAGCTAGTGAAACCTTGAAGAGTTTAAATCCTTTAGGAGAGAGCCAAAAAAATAAAATAAAATAAAATGGGAGCCACAATGCGAGTTCTGATGATGATTGCCATAGCGGCAAGCCTTGTTTCTGTTTCCTATACAGCTACGGGGACTGCAACTTTCTATACACCACCTTATGTTCGTAAGTTTCTCTTCAGTACTATCATGCACTGCACAAGATTTTGCAAATCTGTCATTTAATTCGAGAGATAACTAGTTAAGATATATTTGTATACGTCTTGCATGATTCCTAGTTATTTTATCGTTTTCTTTAATCTCTCAGCATTTTCGTAGGGTGTCTCTTTAGTACTATCACTAGTATAATTTAAAGTGCAACATGTGATATTAGCCAGACAAAAGTATTGCGACCTTCTCTTCTCACAAATGTTGTACTTTTGTTGCCTTGTTAAACCAGCTTCTTCTTGGCTAATTTCTTAGATTATTCGCATTTAAAAAAAATAATCGTCGAATACACCTCTGACATGGAGTGCTTCTTGTTCTATAGCGACCGTGCTGATTCAGCATGTCCGCATAATTAAAAATTTCACAAAAAACTTGTCTACAAAAAAGTCAGTTTGCAGAGAGTGTCAGCGCGGACGTGCCCAATCAACACGTCCGCTGCTGGCCACAATACTTTCGGTCTGAGCATGTGTCAGACGCGGACCTCAACCCATCAGTTTTCCCATCTCACCGTCAGAATTTATAGACCTCAACCCAAAAAAAAAAAAAACTGTGTTTTCTCTCTATGGCGTCTTCTTTCGCAAAGCCTCTGCTAATTCTGTCAGCTTTACTGCTTTCCCTCCTAATCTCACCTTCACAATCAGCGACCTGTTCCTCACAGACACTCTCCAATAACAAATTATACGCCCACTGCAACGATTTGCCTTCTCTGGATTCTTACCTCCATTATTCCTATGATCCCGTCCAGTCCACTTTATCCGTGGCCTTCATCGCTCCTCCCGCTAAACCCAACGGTTGGATTGCATGGGCTATTAATCCCACCGGCTCCGGCATGCTTGGGGCCCAATCCTTAATCGCCTTCAGAAACTCCGCCGGTCAAATGACCGTTAAGACCTATAACATAACCTCCTACGCCCCCCCAATTAAGGAGTCTAAGGTCTGGTTTTCCGTGAAGGACGCCACAGCGGAGTACTCCGGCAATGTTATCCGGCTGTTTGCCACGTTGGTCTTGCCGGAGGAGGCCACGTCTTTGAATCATGTGTGGCAGGTGGGCGCGTCGGTAACCAACGGCGTTCTGGATAAGCATTATTTCTCGCCGGCAAATTTGAATGCCAAGGGAAGCTTGGATTTGCTGAGTGGCTCTTCTTCCTCTTCAGACTCGAGGGTCAAAAAGAAAAATGTAAGCTTTTTCCGGGGACGTGCCCAGTCAGCACGTCCCCGTCTGACACATGCACAGACAGAGTCAGACGCGGACGTGCACAATCAGCACGTCCGCGTCTGACACATGCTCACACCGAAAGTATTGTGGCCAGCAGCGGACGGATTTGGGGCAGGGACGGTCATCAGTATGACCGTCCCTGCACGGTTAAGGGTCAAGATTGGCCCTCACAATTTTGTGCGGTTGAGATTACACCATGTAACTCGATTTTCGCGTCAAGTGTGGGGTCCACCACTATCTGTTGTGAAAATACATTCTGTGAAAAAAAAGTTACACGATGTACAAAGAAAGTTACGGCCAGTTAATAATGACTACAATTGGCAGGAACGGTTGCACCTGCAACCGTACGTGCCCCGAGTCCGCAGCGGACGTGCCCAATCAGCACGTCCGCGCTGACACTCTCTGCAAACTGACTTTTTTATAGACAAGTTTTTTGTGGAATTTTTAATTATACGGACGTGCTGAGTCAGCACGGCCGCTATAGAACAAGAAGAACCCCATGTCAGAGGTGTATTTGGTGGTTGTTTTTTTTCAATGCGAATAATCTAAGAAATTAGCCCCTCTTCTTGTTATGGCTACCAAGACAATGGGGTGATGATTGCAGCTGCAAGTGATGCAATCTGGAACAATAGGGCTGCCTGTGGGAGAAACTACAGAGTGACATGCACTGGACGTACAAACGAAAGTGTCCTTCAATCATGCAGGGGCAGTGTTGTGGTTAAAATAGTTGATTATTGTCCACCCGGCTGTAGAGGAACAATTGATCTCTCCCAAGAAGCGTTTGCTATCATTGCTGATCCAAATGCTGGAAAAGTTAACATTGAATATGACCAGTAAGCCTATTATGTCTTGACAAAAAAATTTTCTTCATCTAACGGAATTGCTTAGACTTGAAGTACTAATTGGTTTCCAACTTTCCTCTTATTTTTCAGGGTTTGAAGTTGAACTTTAAAAGCTTTCAGAAGGCGGAAAATGATGTCCAGAAATAAGTAGATTTAAACGAATAAGCATAAACCAAAAAGGGGCTTAATTAAACGTATCTTAGGACGAAAGTTAGATTTTTGGAGCATAGTTAGGCCGATTCATTGTGCTTGAGACCTGGAAAATGAAGGAGACGATGACAAGGCTGGATTAAGAATTGATCAGGCACAGATCGGCACAAAACACGGATTCCTAACATTCAATTGTTCGCTTTAAGTTCATGTTAAATGAGAGACTATGGAATGAAAGAAAGTATATGAAAGAGTACAACTTACTGATTGCAGGCTGCTGCTTCTGGCCCTTCACTTGCTCCCGCCCCTGGCTCTCCTTCATTCCCTGTTGGCCCTTCACCTGCTGCTTCTCCTTCATTACCTGCCGGCCCTGCCAGTGGAAGAAAGAAATCGAAGAATTTAAGGGTGAAGTTACCGGTTGTTGGTGCTGCCGTAGCGACTTTTCTAGCAGCTCTTGCATTACTTTTCTGGTGTTGCAAATTGCGAAAGAGAAAAGGTGACCATCGAAAATTCATGGGTTCAGAAAGGCCAGAGCTTGATGACAAAGGAGATGATGAATCACTGTTCTTCAGTTTTACAAGCATAGAAATTGCTACAGATCATTTTTCCGAGGAAAACAAACTTGGTCAAGGAGGATTTGGTCCAGTCTACAAGGTAAGCTAATTAAACATTTCTGGAAACAAATTTACTTTTAAGTCCAAAAAGCCTATTTATTTGCTTAATTTTAATATAAATACGTGGTTCAGGGCAAACTGGTCAACGGGCTAGAGATTGCAGTTAAAAGATTGAATAGAATGTCAGGACATGGAATTGAACAATTCAAGAATGAAGTCAAAGTGATCTCAAAGCTGCAACACCGAAACCTTGTTAGACTTTTGGGCTCCTGCATTGAGAAAGAAGAGCGTTTATTGGTATATGAGTACTTGCCGAATAACAGTCTGGATTCAGTACTTTTTGGTATGTGTCAGAATTCTATTTACCTTCATTTGTTCTTGCTTAAGTAAGTTATATGCTTACAACTATCAGAATTCAGAACACTCTAAAAATGCTTACAGATGCAGCAAAGCAGAATATATTGGATTGGAAAAGAAGGTTGAAAATCATCGAAGGGGTAGCTCAGGGGCTTTTGTACCTCCACAAGTATTCTAGATTAAAGATCATCCACAGAGATCTGAAAACGAGCAATGTTCTATTGGACGCGGACCTGAATCCCAAAATTTCAGATTTTGGAACCGCCAGAACTTTTGGAGAGAATGAGATGCGCGGAAGTACATTGAACATTGTTGGGACATAGTAAGTTGAAGGAATATCTTCTTGTTTGTTGTTTTGCTCCGAGTAATATCCAATCTCTAATCTCATGCTTAAGCTAATTGAGATGATTACTTTTTGCGAGAAAAAAAGTGGTTATATGTCTCCTGAATATGCCATGGACGGGGTTTACTCCGAGAAGTCTGATGTATTTAGCTTTGGAGTCATGATTCTTGAGATCATAACTGGAAAGAAGAACACTTCGTTCTACGATTCGGATCGTCACCTGAACTTAATAGGACATGTGAGTTACCTGTATAATGCAGTGTTACTTGTGTCATTTCCTTCAGTCCAGTAATTTGGGAATGATCATTTGTCACATTCCAGGTCTGGGATCTATGGACAGAGGGAAGAATTTCAGAAATCACAGATTCGTGTTTGGATGAAACGATCTCAACAAAGGAAGCACTAAAATATGTTCGCGTTGGTTTATTGTGTGTGCAAGAAAAAGCAGCAGATAGACCAACAATGTCGGACGTGGTATCCATGCTCCTCAAGGAATCAATGGTTCTTGTCTCTCCTAAGCGACCGGCTTTTGCTGAAATTATGACTCTTAACAATACCAAGTTACCGGAATATCCAGAACTTTGTTCTTTGAACGAGGTCACAATTTCAGATGTGCAGGGTAGATGATTATTTCTTGGCCAGGCGTATATTTTCTTGCAGGGTAGAGAAAGGTGAGAAGCCGGCTGTATCCTCAAGTTAGGGGTGGCCACCGGAGATAATCAGGTCTCAATTCTTTTGTGGATTCGTTTGGGATTTGAATTTGATGACTAATTATTCAAGTGATCAAACATTATTTTATTAATCAGGAGATGCCAATACGTAGGTGAAGGGGTTGATAGCTACTTGTTAGAATTGTTCTATATTTTTGGTCTTTTGACTAGTTTAACTATCTTTGATTTTCTATTATCTTGTTAGGATTATTTAGGAAGTATTTGTTTTTTGATTGTATCTTTATCAAAGGGGAGATGATGAATGAAAAATGATGAACTATTTTTTTGCAACACTTACAGGTTGCAACGCTAATTACAAGTGTTGTTTCTTAGTTTACACTTTAAATTCTAATTATTACACATTTTGCATTTTCTTTTTGACCATATAACAGTTTTAGTTAAAAATTCTGTGGAAGGGCAAAACATTAATATTTTAAGAATCGGACCAAATCAGTCAGTTCGATCGATCGAATCACAAACTAACCATGATACTGGTCCAATTCTATGAAAAACCCCAAAAAGTTAAAAAATCAGTCAAAATAAATCAAAATTGGTGAACCGGAATAAATCGCTTAAACAGGTCAAGTCCGATTTATGAATTTTGACTTGGGCCTTGGACTTTTCTTTTATAGGATACTCAATTGTTCGAGCTTCTGGGCTCTATCAAAGCCTAACAACGACAACTAATTGTTTGCTGCTACAATTAAGTTGGATGGTGGGCCATCTTTTCTCGAATTAAAGAAAATACCTTAGTTGGTCAAACTTCAAAACAAAATGACTAATTCAAGTAAAATTTAAAAATCCCTTGGGTTGGATCGGATGGTATCGAGATAACCTAGTTAGGTCTTAAGGTCATATGTTCGAGTTATCTCTTTACCGCTTATGTATTCTTAAGGGGCGGGGTGCACAGGCACAGGGAAATTAGTCTGGCAAAATTGGGATACTCCCTATGTTAAAAAAAACGAAAATCTTAGCATAGATTTTTGTCCATTAAGATTGGCTCAGATGGTCTCGGGGTAGCCTAGTTTGGTCCCGAGATCGTGTGTTCGAGTTATCTTTCTACTGCTTGTGTATTTTTGGGGAGGGTGCACAGGCACAGAGAGATTAGTCTGACAAAACTGGAATACTCCCTGTGTTGAAAAAAAAACTAAAGAATCTCTTAATTCTCTTCTCTTTTAAGAATTTTCACCTCTAGGAGCCGCCCTACAAACTCTACTCATCTTCTCTTTTTTTTTTTTTTTTTTTTTTGCATTGTTCCCTCTTTTTTTCCATCTTTTCTTTTACATTATTAATGGTGTAGATGATCCTGAAGTTGAACTCAGTAGACAAAGGAGCAAACTTGTTTTTTTTGCTACTACTACTAAGTTGGATGCTGGGCCATCTTTTCTCGAATTAAAGAAAATACCTTAGTTGGTCAAACTTCAAAACAAAATGACTAATTCAACTACAATTTAAAAATCCCTTGGGTTGGCTCGAATGATATCGGGATAACCTAATTAGGTCTTAAGATCGTGTGTTCAAGCCACTTCTTTACCGCTTATGTATTCTTGAGGGGCGAGGTGCATAGACATAGAGAGATTAGTCTGGCAAAATAGGGATACTCCCTATGTTAAAAAAAACGAAAATCTTAAGATGGTCTCATAGTTTTTTGTCAATTAAGATTAACTCAGATGGTCTCAGGGTAGTTTAGTTAGGTCCCGAAATCGTGTGTTCGAATCACCTCTCTACCTCTTATGTATTCTTGGAGGGGGCGGGATGCACAGACGCAGGAAAATTAGTCTGGCAAAACTGAAATACTCCATGTATTGAGAAAAAATTATAGAAACTCTCAATTCTCTTCTCTTTTAAGAATCTTCACCTCTGGGAGCTGCTATACAAGCTCCATTCATCTCTTTTTTTCTTTTTTTCCTTTTTTCCCTCTTTTCTTCCCTCTCTTCTTTTACATTGTTAACGGTGAAGATGATCATGAAGTTGAACTCAGTAGACAAAGGAGCAAACTTGTTTTTCCTTTCCTCTTCTATCTTTTGTTTTCATACTCATGATTTTTTCTACTTTTTTTGGAGTCAATTTTACAAATTCTATCATATTTGTTTTTGAGTTGGGGAAGTTAAACTCTTCCTTGTTTAAGTTAAAATATTGGATAGATTTGTTCATAATTTTGTTGATTCTTAATTCTTTTATGAAGTACTTTTTCTTTTTTTTGGTTGATGACTTCTCTAAAAGATATTTAAAATTTAGGATTTTTGTGTTGATTATACATATTTCTGCTTATTTGTTATTATTTATTTTTAAAATTAAAAAATTAATGGATCAGAGTTGAACCGATTGAACCTTAACCCAACCACTTCACTAGTTTAACCATCAGTCCGAGTTTCGAAACAATTGTTTGGATAGGGTATTAATTATTTGGAATAATTACTGTAGCATTTTTTGTGATGTGATGTATGTGAGATAAAAAGGTGGTTGAGAATATAAAAAAGGTGGGTTGGAAAATGTGTTTATGATGACCTAATTCGTAAATCTCATCAATCTTACCAACTAGTCAAGAGGAATAACTGTTTAAACGGTGATTGGAACAAATTCTAAATTGAATCTTGGACTGATTCAATAACTTTTGAGCAATTTTGGGTGATGTAGATGCGGGGTATGATGGTATCATTGCAATCTCCTAGATTTTTCCCCCAGTTTTCTTCCTGAAAATACATGTCATTCTCTGTGGATATTACTCAAGGGACCGACCACACGCAAACACTTGAAGTGCCGCCCAGACTTCAGCTCCTGTTGTCTCCAGCGGTCCCCGTTGGGCGATGCCCACCGGCTACATGCTTCTGGCCGTCTTTTTCTTTTTTCTGGGTACAAAACGAAAGAGGGAAGTATAATTTCCTGGGAGTGCCTGTCGTTTTCAGTTGCTTAATAAAGCAAAGAGCTTTGTCTGATTTCTCCATTATATACCGATAATCAAAAGCTTTTTCTTCTAGTGAACTTCTATCTTAACGGCTTGGACTCGACTGTCAGGTCCACAAACTCTGAAATGATAGACAGTATTAATAGGAATAGAATATGATAGTATTAAATTGCTTGAAATGCTCTAGTTTCATGTTCTTTGATCCTTAATCGAAAAGCTAGACTTCAGCTCCTAGTTGTTTATCTGAACATATATATAAATGGGAGTATTGGGATAGCAAGAATGATCAGTTCATCAAACAGGAATTTGGAAACATTTTCTTGTACAATCGCTTACTTCGTTGCCAAAAACTATTCTGTTTATGGGGCTAAAGATACATGACTAGGAGATAGTGAATCAGTGAAATTGCACAATGGAGAGATCATATCATGGAGTCCTCCAATAAGCGTTGTCGGTTCTTGAGCGACCATTCTTCTTCATTCTGCGTAAAAACTAGTTTGACATTAACGAAACGAAACATGTTATTAGAAACTCTTTTTCTTTTCGGAAACGTCAACTTTGTATTAATGATGAACAGGTAAACGTCCAGAAATTAACACGACAGAGGAAAATCCACACATAGAGATAGAGGAGAATTCACATCTCAGAAAAAGTGGTTTTAAAAGCTAAAATATCCTCTAGGAGGACCAGTACTAATTGACTAGTTCTATTTCGTTTCTTTACTACTACTACATCTATTCCCGTCCCGAGCGGGCATGGTTCCAATTCTCTGAGCAGCGACGGACCAGGAATGATTGGCGGGAATTGGGATGGATGGTTTGCTGGCAAACAGATGATTGTGTTCGAAAGTCTTCGTCAAGACAAGAAGTAACGTGCTTCTAAGGCTACCTTTTTCCACAATGTTTGGATAACAGGGCAGCATCAAAAGTGCTTGATCTTGACAATAGATAACTAAATTTATTTTGAGTAGCATAAGAGATCATTTTAGTCACTTTTCAAAAAAAAAAAAAAAGATCATTTTAGTCTACCCTCCAAATATTGGAGATCAAAATTGCAACTCTCTAGAACCACAAAAATAAGATATCCAAATGTGGACAATAATCCAGTACATGGATTCTGTATGTAAATTTTGTCACCTAAAAGTTGTGTCATACAAGGAATCGAATTCATTCAACTTTCAATTAAATTTATGTAAATCATCAACTATATATACGTTGTGATTGCTCTGGCAACCGTGCAGAAAAAATATATCCAAAAATAGCTGCATCTTCAAATTTTTCTCTCCAAGTCGCTTACATAAAAAGGATTAAAAACCTTTTCAAAACCATCTTTGGAGAGACCCCAAAAAAAAACACACACATTAAAATTTGAAAAGCCAAACTTGAGTCTTGAATGTGATTTCTCACCCCACAAAATTTCTCACCCTTACTTGAGTCTTGAACCATGGAGATGGATCGCAAACTTGAGTCTTGAATGTGATTTAGGTTCTAATACTCCCAATCCGTGGGAAGGAAATAGGAACGGGGACCCGCGAGAGAGCAATGATTGATGTTAATACGAGTGGCAGTTACATGTACAAGTGTTGCGAGAATGTTTACCATATACATAGCACTTGTTTGTACTCGACCGAGTCTCATTGGAAGATACTTCTTAGTCTTCCATGACTTATTTCTTTTCTTTCTATCCCCTTTATATATATATATATATATATATATATATATATATATATATATATATATATATTTAATTAAAGCTTGTTTTTAAATACTCTAAGATAATTTCCTTTCCTTCCTTAAATATGATATAAACCTTTGTATAACCCAAAAGCCAAAATTTTCCGACGTCCTTCCCTGTATAAATAAACTCATTGCATAGGCTATAGATGAGAATCGCACAACTTCACTGCTCTCGTATTTTCAAAGCGCAAAAAGAAGTAGTGAGAAATGGGATCATTTAAGATCTTCTTAGCACTATTTAGCTTCATTCACCTTCTAATCTTCTGGCCATCTGGAGCTCAAAACTCAAAACAGGATTATCTCGATGTTCATAACGCAGCTCGTGCCCAAGTTGGTGTTGTCCCGATAGCTTGGGACGACACGGTGGCTGCCTATGCACATAACCATGGTTCGTCATCGCCGGTCGTGGTAGCATCACAGTTTCGGTTGTTCCACATCCGTCGCAGCGTATCGATTGAATATCGGGTAATATTTGCATTATAGCACATGAAAGTTTCCAAAAATTTTGAAAAAATTATTAAAATTAAAAAATATCAAAAAAAGTATAATTTAAAAAAATATCCGAATCGACTCCGAGTGGATTCGGATATATCAATTGATATCATGCATTACGGATTCGAATCGACCAATATCGGTCGAGTCAGAGTGAGTCATCGCGGATATGGTAATATCCGCGATTCGAAAATCAATATCGTACCGATCCCTCCGTTCCGGTTACGGCTCAGCCGTTACGTATTTGAAAATCAGTATCGTACCGATCCCCTCCGTTCCGGTTACGGCTCAGCCGTTACGTATCGGTATCAGCCGATATTGCTAACCATGCACATAACTACGGCAATCAGATTATAAACTACTGCAATTGGACGGGATTTGGGGCCCTTACGGTGAGAACTTAGCTGAAGGCAGCAGAGACTTCACGGCCAGGGATGCCTTCAATCAGTGTGTGAGTGCGAAGCAATACTACGATTACAACTCCAACGCATGTGCTCCAGAACCGGAGTGCCAGAACTACACTCGGTGATTTGGAACAGCTCAGTTGCCCTGGGCTGCGAGGGTTCAATGCACAAATGATGGTTGGTGGTTCGTGATTTGCTGTTATCATCCCCCTGGCAACTCCATTGGTCAGCGTCCTTATTTGCAGTTATGATCCCCCTGTCTAGACGTGTTATCTCTGTCTTTCTCAGTGCTTAGTCCTCTCATACCCTTCTTAAGTGATAATTCTTAGCTTAACTTGAATTTGAACGTCTAGAACAGACTTCAATAACATGCATGTGGGTGGAGTAATAAAGATCACGGGTAGGACTATCAATGGGCGAACTCGGCTCGTTCGGCCCGACAAAAAGTCCGATGAGCTCGATATTTTAGTGAATCGGTCTGAGATTAAACCTAAAAATTAATTCCGAATTAAATATGAGCCGAGTTTGGGCCCTATTAAACTCACTCCGGCCCTTTAATTATATATATATATATAATATTTATATTTTGATATTGTATATAATTAGGTAGCCAAATATATTATTATTAAATACTAAATATATATATATATATATTACAAAATATAAAAATACATCTAAAGACTCTTTCATGAGCTTTCTTGAGAGCCAATATTAGTGATGCATAACTGAATCTCAAACTTTTCTTATTGGTTAAATAAATTTTTGTGTTGACATAATATTGGTTTATCTCTTTTTGATCTACAAACAGAAATCATCAAGCATGTTTGGATTCAAATCACAATATTATAAAAAAAGTTTCAACTTTTAAAGATATATTGGCTTATGATCGCATGTTTTATTACTATTTTTCATGCATTTTGAACGAATTAAATATAAATATTGTTGAAAAAGTTTTGGTTTATATACTTTTGAAGAACTATTATTTGTTCATGTTTAGTTTTAATATTATAGTCTTGTAAATGTTAAATTAGTTTTACAACTTAATAGTTATAGTAATTATATTAAGAAAATTAAAGAGTATTAAATGAGATTGGGCTAAGCCCGATTAAAGCTCACAACCCGAATATTATGTGAGTTGAGTATGAGCTTCACATTTATGAACCAAAAACTCATAATCTGAAACCCGAAAATGTTCTAAATTAAATGAGTTGAACTTGAACTTATGAAAGCCCGACTTATTAGCCCCAATTGACGGGCCTAATCACGGGGTACATCTCAAATCTCTCTGTATAATTAAAAAATAAATAAATAAAGTCGATATGTTAGGGGGGAGAAAAGGAAAGAAACGAATAAGCATAAACCAAAAAGGTGCTTAATTGAACGCATCTTAGGACGAAAGTTAGACTTTTGGAGCATAGTTAGGCCGATTCATTGTGCTTGAGACCTGGAAAAATGGAGGAGACCGGGCCCTCAACCGATGTCAAGCCTGGATTAAGAATTGATGAGGCACAGATCGGCACAAAACACGGATTCCTAATATTCAATTATTTGCTTTAACATCATGTTAAATGAGAGACTATGGAATGAAAGAAAGTATATGAAAGAGTACAACTTGCTGATTGCAGGTTGCTGCTTCTGGCCCTTCAGTTGCTCCCGCCTCTGGCTCAGTTCCAGTTGGCCCTTCACCTGCTGCCGCACCTAGTTCTCCTTCATTTCCTGTTGGCCCTTCACCTGCTGCCGCCCCTGGCTCTCCTTCATTTCCTGTTGGCCCTTCACCTGCTCCTGTCCCTGCTTCTCCTTCGTTACCTGCCGGCCTCCCAGTGGAAAAAAGAAATCGAAGAATTTAAGGGTGAAGTTATTGGTTGTTGGTGCTGCTGTAGCGACTTTTCTAGCAGCTCTTGCATTACTTTTCTGGTGTTGCAGATTGAGAAATAGAAAAGGTAACCTTAGAAAACTCATGGGCCTAGAAAGGCCAGATCTTGATGACAAAGGAGATGATGAATCACTGTTCTTCAGTTTTACAAGCATAGAAATTGCCACAGATTATTTTTCCGAGGAAAACAAACTTGGTCAAGGAGGATTTGGTCCTGTCTACAAGGTAAGCTAATTAAACATTTCTTGAAACGATTAACTTTTAAGTCCAAAAAGCCTATTTATGTGCTTAATTTTAATGTTAATACATGGTTCAGGGTAAACTGGTTAACGGGCTAGAGATTGCAGTTAAAAGATTGAATAGAATGTCAGGACATGGAATTGAACAATTCAAGAATGAAGTCAAAGTGATCTCAAAGCTGCAACACCGAAACCTTGTTAGACTTTTGGGCTCCTGCATTGAGAAAGAAGAGCGTTTATTGGTATATGAGTATTTGCCGAATAACAGTCTGGATTCAGTACTTTTTGGTATGTGTCAGAATTCTATTTACCTTCATTTGTTCTTGCTTAAGTAAGCTATATGCTTACAACTATCAGAATACTCTAAAAATGCTTACAGATGCAGCAAAGCAGAATATTTTGGATTGGAAAAGAAGGTTGAAAATCATCGAAGGGGTAGCTCAGGGGCTTTTGTACCTCCACAAGTATTCTAGATTAAAGATCATCCACAGAGATCTGAAAACGAGCAATGTTCTATTGGACGCGGACCTGAATCCCAAAATTTCAGATTTTGGAACCGCCAGAATTTTTGGAGAGAATGAGATGCGCGGAAGTACATTGAACATTGTTGGGACATAGTAAGTTGAAGGAATATCTTCTTGTTTGTTATTTTGCTCCGAGTAATATCCAATCTCTGATCTCATGCTTAAGCTAATTGAGATGATTACTTTTTGCGAGAAAAAAAGTGGTTATATGTCTCCTGAATACGCCATGGACGGGATTTACTCTGAGAAGTCCGATGTATTTAGCTTTGGAGTCATGATTCTTGAGATCATGAGTGGAAAGAAGAACACTTCGTTCTACGATTCGGATCGTCACCTGAACTTAATAGGACATGTGAGTTACCTGTACAATGCAGTTTTACTTGTGTCGTTTCCTTCAGTCCAGTAATTTGGGAATGATCATTTGTCGCATTCCAGGTCTGGGATCTATGGACAGAAGGAAGAATTTCAGAAATCACAGATTCTTGTTTGGATGAAACGATCTCAACAAGCGAAGCACTAAAATATGTTCACGTTGGTTTATTGTGTGTGCAAGAAAAAGCAGCAGATAGACCAACAATGTCAGATGTGGTATCTATGCTCCTCAAGGAATCAATGGCTCTTGCCACTCCAAAGCGACCTGCTTTTGCTGAAATTATGACTCTTAACAATACCAAGTTACCTCAAAATCCAGAATCTTGTTCTTTGAACGAGGTCACAATTTCAGATGTGCAGGGTAGATGATTATTTCTTGGCCAGGCTTATATTTTCCTACTTTGTTTCACCAAGCTGTGGGTTAGGACAAATTTTAGTCCTTAAGATAGGAATAGCCCAGGACAAAAGGACGTACCCGTTGTCGACTGACTGACGGATGTTGCAAGTTGTAAGTGGTAATTGCATACAGAGGAAGGTGAGAAGCAGGCCGTGTCCTCAGGTCAGGGACTCAGGGGTGGCCACTGCAGATAATCAGTCTCAATTCTTTTGTGGATTCGTTTTGGTTTTGGATTTGAGTTTGATGACTAATTATTCAAGTAATCAAACATTATTTTACTTAAACAGTTGCAGCAGTCCAATCTAGTTATTACTAATTGAGTAGTACTACTTAGATTTTCACATACAGAGGAGAATTCACATCTCTGAAACAGCGGTTTTAAAGCTAAACATCCTCTAGGTGGACCAGTGCTGATTGACTGGTTCTATTTAGCATTTTACTGCTGCAACTATTCCCTAGCGGGTCGCTGCTTATTGTTCCAATTCTCTGAGCAACGACGGACAATGAATGGAAGGACTTTGGGATCGATGGTTGGGTAGCACTGGCAGATGACAGCGTCCAAAATTCTTGGTCCAGACAAGAACTAACAACACGTTTCCACGGGTGTCTTTTTCCACAATATTTTGAATAACAGGGCATCATGAAAGTGCTGGATCTTGACAATGGAGGTGGGGTGTTGGGAAATTATGCGATTAATTTCGCTTGATGATGCAGGGCAGGGACACGACAAACTGTTTAGGTCGCAAATCAAGTTCAATGACACTTGGCAATGCAGCTTTGAATTGGGATCAGGAGGACAGCAAACAGGAAAGAAAGGAAAGGTGTTCTTCCCATCAATCGAGAAGAATGCATTATTGTTGAATTGGCTTCAGGACAGCTAACAGGAAAGAAAGGTGCTCCTTAATTCCCCGTCTGTATTAAGGAAGTCTCCCAAGAATGCAGGGATCATGCTATCGTTATGGGGTTGAAATTGTTTTAAGAAATGGTGGAAAATAAAGGCATATATAAATCTTTTATATTATTTGATTCTTTTATATTTTCAGTTTTAGGTGTACCTCTTGAGTTTAGAAATTATTTTTTAAGATTTTATACTCTCTCTTGTATACTCTATTTTTGTTATAATAAACCAGAGACTAAACCTAACATATTTTTTTTTTGTCGATACGATGGAATTCCTATAACCTAAGTTAGCATATTCTAGGGGGGAGGGGGAGGGGATTCGATGTGAGTAGAAATTCCATCGAAATTGTTCAATGAAAACCGTCACATATTGTGACAAATTTTTTGTGAGAGGCAAGGTTCGAACCCTTGACCTCCCGCACCACCAAGCCTAAGAAGGCGACTAAACCTAACATATAACTTTTCAAGTTTTTGTTTATCCTTAGCACGTAGGGTAATTTATGAGGCAAAAGACATTTAGAAATCTATGACTCAGTCTACCAACATCGACCTCTATTTTGTCTTTAATATGACTGTTTCTATGACTCAGTGAACCACCACCACATCACCAACCTCTATTCTCTTTCATTTTGTAGTAAAAAATTAGATTAGTTATTAAGATTATGAGACTATATTAAGACTATGAGTTAGTTTTTGTCCAAACCAATATGAGGTCAAATTGTTTCATTTTTTAGACATATGGAACTAAATTTATTTTTGCAAAACATAAAGGATCATTTTAGTCTATCTTTTAAATATTGGAGATCAAAATTGCAACTCTCTAAAATTACAAAAAATGAAATCTCCAACGTTCAAATAAGGGAAAGAAAGAAATATATGGAAAATAATCCACTAGGTGGATAAACATAGGAGGATTTGATATATATAAATATAGATGCTACGAGCAAAGTTCAACAAATTTTGTCACCTACAAAGTTGTAGTATCACACAATGAATCAAATTTGTCTCAATTTCAATTAAATGCGCATAAAATGCTATTAATTATATTGTGCAATTGTCGTCTTCAAATTTAATTTTCCTCTCCAACTCGATTGGATAACAAATATTGAGAACTATTTTCAAAATTATCTCTAGAAGAGAAAAAAAACATTATTAATTTAAAATGCTAAACAAAGAATGGACAACGCCCCACAAAATTTCTCACCCTTACTTCTCTTCCCCCTTAGTCCCAACTTCTTCTACCAGCAAAGAAGTCTCAATCCGATCATGTTCTTCTCATCCAAATCAAGAACACTAATTCCGCGATTACTACTTCTTAGGACCGCAATCCTATTCTCAGTCCAAACTTCACAAGTCCATGGAAGCTGCACCTCAGGCTGCGACTTAGCTCAAGGCTCCTACTACACCTGGGCTGGCGAAAATTTAACTTACATTGCCAGTCTTTTCAACATCCCAACAGCAAGCATAACCGACAGCAACCGGGCCAATATCAGCATAGTTCCCGGCAGGGATATACTCCTGGCCGGAATCAGAATAAACATACCCTTTAACTGTGACTGCTTCGATAACAACTTTTTAGCCCGTGTTTTCAGCTACAATGTCACGTCGTCAACCCAAACAACTTTTGATACAATCGCAAAAGTGTCCTATTCTAATTTGACCAGTGCCGCTTGGTTGAAGAGGTTCAATTCTTATCCCGGAAATGGTGTTTCCGTCCCGCATATTGGTGTCCTGAACGTGCCTGTGAATTGCTCCTGCGGCGGGGAGGTGTCGAATGGATACAGGTACTTTGTTACGTGGCCTGTCCAGGATGGGGAGACGCTGGAGTCCGTGGCTGCTGCGAATAATTTGACTGCTGATTTGGTGAAGAGATATAATCCAACGGCTAACTTCACCGCCGGGAATCTGTTATATATCCCCATGGGAGGTGAGTTTTGGCAGTGGTTTGGATTTATATAATTATACTTTTATCCCTGTATTTTTTTTTATTTTTTGCCCTCTAAACTTAGAATAGCATATACTTATAGACCTTATGTCCATTTGATCCATTAAGGGTAACAGAAAAGTTCGCAAAATTATGGACTTCTACCGTACCTTTTGAGTATGGAGTAGTACCCATATTGATGAGTATCAATTCACTGTTAAATATGTAAAAGAAATATCGGTTCTAAAATGATTTTAGGACTTTAAATTATTGAATTATGTGATAATAGATTATTGGATTATAACTATGGGTATGGTACTCAAAAGGGATGCTAAAATTTTCCAAAATTATATTGATTTTGAGGTAAGTTTAGTTAGAGGTCATTGCAGTGCATTCATGGATACCTGATATTGGGACTAACATGTAATTCTAAAACTAATCAGTATATATTGATCCATGTCGTGACTCTTTTACTCTTTACATTTCGATGTTTGGCATTTGATGATATTGTACAGTTTATCAGGCACAGTCATCTGAAATGACCATGTCTTCTTTAGGTGATTGTTGGCTAGTGCTTATCCAGAATAGATGCAATGCTTTCATGATGATTGTGCCATAATACTTGTAGATATTTGACATGGTAATAAAAAATCTGCATCAGGAGTGCCAAATATCAGATTGGTTCCCCGTTTATATGTCGATTGAACGGTGTATTGTGCAAATTAGATCAGTCATTGAGCTAGGACGCAAGAGCAATACCAGGAGGTATTGTACCGCTCCTGGAATCTGGGGCGTGGAGACCATTAGTAATTGTCCGTTATTTTTTTATTTCAGGCTGGCCAGCTGTAGAAATATCTAATGTTTGTATATTGATGATATCTTCATCCTTTTTTTATTCCTTGTTCGTTCAATATTGTGTAGCCAAGATTATACAATCATCTGTTCAAGTTGTTTAATTAAGAAAATGTGCTCTGCTATAAGTACTCTCTTGTAGCCAATCAAATGAATTTAGATTAAAACAAAGCTGATTCTTTTTCTACTAATGCAGTTCCTAATGATTCGCCAACCCCTGCTCTTGGCTCTTCTAAAAGACAGAAATCAACGTGGAAGTTGAAATTGTCTATTGGTGTTGTAGCACCATTTCTGGCAACTCTTACACTGCTTTCTTTGTATTGCATCTTGCAAAGGAAAAAAGTTACTGGAATTGGAGGTACTTCACTCTTTTTTGTTTCTTTTGATAAGGTGCAACAATTTTTATTATGACACTCTATCCTAACCAGATGGGCTGAGAGTAGTATTTATTTTGCACAGCTATAAGCAAATTGAAAAGAGTCGAATGGTCAGCAGACGGTGACAAAGAGGATGATGAATCAATTTTTTTCAGTTTTTCAAGCATAGAGTGCCACTGACCATTTTTCTGAAGCCAAAAGACTTGGTCAAGGAGGATTTGGTCCTGTCTACAAGGTAAAGAATTCCCTCTAAGATCCCCGCTTCATTTTGAAAGCTGATTGACACAACATCTTCGTTTCTAAAAATTGCTTTTAGGTAACTGAATCCTACTGGAATCACTCATTTTACATGACCCGAGTAATGATTTTCATGTCAGGGTAATTTTAATAACGAGCTAGAGGTTGCAGTGAAAAGACTGAACAAAATGACCATATATGGAACAGAACAATTCAAGAATGAAGTTACAGTCATCTCCAAGCTGCAACATCGAAACCTTGTTAAGTTGCTAGGTTACTGTACTCACGGAGAGGAGCGGATATTAGTATACGAGTACTTGCCAAATAAAAGTTTGGATTCGTTTCTTTTTGGTAAGAATTATTACCTAGTAATATTGATTTTGTTGTCAACGGAAGGTATGTTTGTGAAAAGACTCCAACATTTTCTAACAGATGCAGCAAAGCAAGATGTACTAGATTGGAAAGCTCGGTTGAAAATCATTGAAGGGGTAGCTCAAGGACTTCTATACCTTCATAAGTATTCTAGATTAAAAATCATCCACAGAGATCTAAAGCCAAGCAACGTTTTACTGGACAATGACATGAATCCCAAAATTTCAGATTTTGGAACTGCCAGAATTTTTGGAGATAATGAATTGCGTGCAAACACGAGTAGAATTGTTGGGACATAGTAAGTTCAAAGAGTTCTTTTTCTTGTTACTGTTTTTGGGAGAACTACACATTTCATGATATCCTAGATTAGCTATGATCATTTTCATTTGGTGATGCAACAGTGGTTATATGTCTCCTGAGTATGCCATGGATGGTATTTTTTCTGAGAAGTCCGATGTGTTTAGCTTTGGAGTCATGATTCTTGAGATCATAACTGGAAAGAAAAACACTGCTTTCCATGACTCTGACCGTCATCTGAACTTAATAGGACATGTAAGATTCATAATATATTTCGAGTTGTTTATATTTCCGAATTCCATGTTTCAGCTCCATTAATTTGAGCAATGATCATTCATCACATTTCTTGTTTTTTATTTCAGGTCTGGGATTTATGGATAGAAGGAAGTCTTTCAGATATTACAGATTCTAGTCTAAATGAAGCAGTTCCAAAACCTGAAGCACTAAAATGCGTTCAAGTTGGTTTGTTGTGTGTGCAAGAGAAGGCAGCAGACAGACCAACCATGTCAGAAGTCGTATCCATGCTCTTCAACGAATCCATGGTTCTTGCTTCTCCGAAGAGACCAGCTTTTTCGGAAATTATGAGTCTCAAGAATCCCGACTTACCTCAAAATCCAGTACATTGCTCCATGAATAAAGTCACCATTTCAGAAGTAGAGGGCAGGTGAATATTCTTATGCCATGTAAGTTTTTTACTTTGTGTTCCAACTCCAAAGTCAGGGCTAAGTATAACCAATTAACCATCCCAGGAAAGGATCACAAAGTTGGGTATGTTAATGTATATGCCATTCATTCTTTGGAGATTAATACGACTAACCAAATGCAAATGCATAACTAGCAATACAACGACTGACATGCAGGTAAACATACTGATTCAGGTCATGAAAAGCTGCTCAAATTGCTTGAAAAAGGCAACAAATTTGAGAGTAGATTGGTTGACAAATTCACCACAACCAACTGCCAGTTTGTGAGCATTGTCATTTAGACAGCAAAGCTGTATTTTAACACCAGCTGAACTTTCGAAGTACTTTCAGCTGGAGATTGATGTGAGAAGTCATCTGATTGTTTCTGATAATGATCACAGAAGGTTTCCTTTCACCTGTGGAAGCTTTTTAGATGAGCAATTGAGTTCATGGGCATTTGAGGATGCTGTTTTATATGGTACAAACTTGGGTAGTGAAACTAGATGATTTGAGTGGTGGAATGCTATTCTAAACACTGCTTGTAAAACTAGGATTAGTTGCCAAAACGATTTTAGTTCGATCCTACGGTTGACTATACAAGGTGATGGTGCTGATGAACATGTAGCCAGGTAGAACAATGCATTTCACCTCATTCCAATCAAATTTCCCACTGTTCTTACTTCTCAGTTCCTCCCCACTATCAAGAATTCTCCTTAGGAGAAGGCGATTATGCTTTGGGCCGAACATTCAGCATCCAAACGCTTGTTTTATACCAAAGAAAAAAAGAGGTCCAATATTCTCCTTTGCATCATATTAAGTCATTAATTCTCATTTTACCCTGTAATTTTTTTTCTAAATACTCTTCTTTCTACTAGTTTTTTAACCTTTGTGGTTATCAATAATCATTGAAAGACAACTTATCAGGAATCATAAAATTCAAGCATGAAGGCAATTTAGTTTCTTTTGCATTAGTTTGTCATGATTTTGGTCTGTATAAAGTCAACGCTGAATATAATTCAAACTCAAATGATCAGTTTTTGTGAGTTGAACATGAGTTACATGAAACAAATGGTCATAGAATGGTAAAGACATTATCTACTTTAAAACTCTATTGGGCACAGTGTAATTACCCAAATAAATCTATTGATTTTAGGTCTATTTTGGATGAAGGGATTTGGAAAAGAAAAAAAAAAAAGTGAAGCTATCAAATTCTTTATGAGTTTAAAGTCAATCAATAAAAAGATTAATGGCAGAAATGGATGTCAAGGAAAGTGCCTCATAAAAAAAGGGTTATAAAGTTTTCAAAATACCATAATTGCCAACAAAAAAACAAAGAGCTCAAGTCCAATCAAAAAACAACTTTGTTTGGACTGCAATTTTTCAGTCAAAAACTTTTATATTTTTCATGAATATATTTCTCAATTACCTTTTACCTGATACACGTCAAATTACTACTAGATATTTTTCCAAAAATTAACAATCCAAACGAGTTCTAAGCATATTATATTTTTACTGTCACTCGGGAAAAAAAAAAAACTTCCCCTTAAAAGTTAAAGCTCTTGTTAGAGTTGAGTTTGCCAGCCAAATTGAGCACTAATAACTGAATTCACCAACGCAGACTGGCTTGGGAAGTGGGAAGCGACCCAAAGGCCAAAGACGACTCGGCGCTAGCATGAAGAAGCCTGATCTAAGTAGCTTCAGACCTCCATCTCTTGCAGCAGCAGGACCCATTTTTCCTAGAGGAAAAAACATCATCAAAACTACTATTTCAAGGCCAAAAACATCATCTATAAAGAACAGTATAGATAATAATGAAAAGACAACATCAGTAGAAGAAATAAGAGTTTGCACTAACAGGACTTGCAGGAGACAAGGTTCATTAGATATTCTTCAAATTCTATCTGGGATTGCCCCTCCTTCTGTCTCCGTCAACTCCTGTGGCTGCCTCGGCCGCTGTGGTGCCGGTCCCAACGTCGTCGTTTTGCCTCAGGGAGCCTTTGTCGGCCACTGTTCGTCCCCTGCTAAAGCAGCCCGTCTCATGGTTTCGTTGGTTTGCGGTTTTCATAGGAATGATAAGGACTTTGAGAGGAGTAGTATGGAGTGTCTGGAAGCATTTGCTTTGAGGAAGAGAGCTGAAGATGAGATGGAAAAGGGGAATCTTGATGGAGCCCTGCTTTTTCTTTCACAGGTATGAGAATGCAAACTCCCAAGAAAAAATAACTTGACATTCTATTGCCTTTTTACCTCAATTGATTGAAGATGGAATTTGATTTTTCCAGTTTTTGTGGTGAAGGAATAGTGGAAGAATTAACGTACTGTTACTGAGTTTGTTATTTAAGAAGAGTATAGGTTTATTTGATTTACTTGATAAAATTGTGTTGAGAGGAGGAATCATAAAGGATGTTGTTAAGTGGTGTAGAATTGAGTTGATTGGCAGAATAGAAGGTGAAAATTGGCATGGCAGGTACAAGAAATGGATGGATTTGCGTCCATCAGTAACTGGGTTTGAGAGGATCTTGTGTAGTTAATCTATGCCAGTTACTTGATTAGCATTATCTTCACAGCTGCTAAAAAGTGCACTTTTACTTTGCTTTGCATTTTGATTTTCTCTCAAGGATATTCCCTTGGGCTTTTCGGTGTTTTTGAATGACAGTTTTGATTTTGCAGATGATTGGATTTTCTTGATTATTGCTGTTAGATAATGCCAATGTTGTTCATTGCAGGCTATAGAACTTAGGCCATTTGGAGGTGTCCATATAACGTATAAAACCAGGTATTCCATATTTGTTTACCTATGCGTTTTTCCGTTATTGGGAAATGCAATATTCACTTAATATATATTCGTTAGGATGCAAACATTCTTGTTTCTGTAACTGGGATGAGTAATAGCGTCCGAACTAATTAACATGCTAACATTCCTTAATTTTTTTTTCTAGTTGATTGCTTTTTCATTAGTCAAGGAGTTATAGTTATAGTGATGTTTGTGTGCTATTATTTGCTGAATTTGGATGTTGTAGTGATCACACATTTCTGTGAATCAATATTCGTGGACTTGCACTAGTATCTAGCAATCTTATAGGTTGTCACAGAGTTGAATCGTGTGATATATGAGGAGGGTCAAGGCACTATGTTCGGTGATAGGAAATAAGGAACTCATGTTTTGTTCTATCATTTAGGTCTACAGCAAGGTTAGCCATGGGAAACATCTGCGAAGCTCTTGATGATGCTAAAGAAGCTTTGACCCTTGCAGCAAATTACCCTGAGGTTTGCCACATGTTCATTCTTGTTATGCTTCAAGAACATAATGATTTGCTATTCTAAGCTCACTGCAAACAAAAATGGCCCCAATTACAGATCATTTGCTTTGAAGCACTGAATCCTGCTTTACAAATCTGCCTAACTTTGACTTATATGATAAGCCGAATTAGTCTGTTAGATAAAGGTCCTTTACTTAAGCTCACCTTCCCATGGCCAAGCCTCATTGACTGCACTGACAGCTAATTGCTTACATCTTCCTTTTGTTTTATTTATTCTGGCCATTTTCCTCTTCCTCAACTTCAGAGAATTAGGAAAGAAAAGATTAAAATTGCAAGCCTGGACTGAATGTATAGGATGTGCTTGGCACAGTCATCAATGAACTACCAGAAGCATGATGCACAGAACATGCTAGAGATTCAGAAACAAGGTATAATAGCCTTTTGGTGGAGATGTTCAATGTTTGCTGATGTTACAGGGTTATATCTGCCAAGGTGATGCTTTAATGGCCATGGACCAAATTGATGCTGCAGAAAAGTCTTATGCAATGGCTTTGGAGTTAGAACCTTCTCTTTGCCGTTCCAAGTCTTTCAAGGTGTGATGCCATCTTGATGTTCTGGTACACATGTTCATCAAAGATGTTTTATGGCCCTATCTGGTATGAAATGATTCTGACAGTGAGATTGTAAATTATGCCTATATGTAGGAACAGGCTTTTTTGTAGTGCCAATGTAATGGACACTAACAAGGTGGCATTGCCAATATTTCTAACCATTTTAAACTGACCAAAAAAAAAAAAGTCAAAACTTAACATAGATAAGCTCAATGGTCCATAATCCATGTGATATATGTTCAGTTGGTAAAAATATCACCAACAGGGTAACTAAATCCTGGGTTCACTTGTTCTTGTTTGATATGTCCAGTTGCTGCAGAATTGAAGTCTACAATTGATATGGTTCTAGGGTCATGCTTTCTTGGTTTTCATCATTTTGAAAAATGGATCATCTAAAGGTCTTCGAAGGTCATCGAAATTTCAAAACTAAGTTGCCTCTTGTTGTCAGCAAAATTTTCTAGAATAACAAATAAACAAAAGTTTGCTGTTATCATCAGAAATTTTCATTGATTCTTCTTCAAGAAGAATTAGAAGGTTACAATATGAATGCTAAAAGTAGTTATACATATTAGTCAATAAGATGGTTTATAGAACTCCAAGTTGGTTAAGATTTTCATAGAAACTTCTGTTTTCTAGCATCCTTTAGAGATCAAAAATTGGCAGTTTCCGCTTTTATATAATTTATACGACACTGTAGGAAGGAGTAATAAAATATGACAAATTTGATTGCCAATTTTCACCCTATCCTCTCAACAATGCCTGTAACTTAAAGCTTATCAAGTTTGTATAATTTAATATGCATAAAAGAACATGGTAGACAAAGACTTGCATGAGCTTTGAGATTACGTGTAGGTAATGGAAATAAAAGTTCAAGCTTTCTTGTGCCTTAGTAAACACCATTTCAATCTTTGCCTTGGTTTGACATATCTGCTCTCATACTTGAGGATTCTATGATTATTCTGTGCAGTGTTTACAATATTTCTAACTTGGTTGTCTCTGCCCGTCTTATTTCAGGCTCGGATTGCAGCGCTTCAAGAGAAACTCTCTCCTGCAAATTCAGCTTAAGGCATTATTTCGGCTGCATGTGTACATATGTTAAATTAACATTATGGAGGTAAGCACATCATCTGTTACTCATCAGGTCAAGCAAAATAAACAAGAATATTGAGCATATTGTCAAGCGGAGAAATTGATGGTGGGTCTGTTGATATTCTTGTCTGGTAAAGGTGTTAGACCTTCAATCTTTCTGTGCATTCAGGATATTGTTTGAATAGAAGCTTTGTTAAAGCTAAAAAACAAAGGATTTTGGTTCATCAATTCTTAGTTGGCTTCTTAATGTTCTGCGATATTAGAACAACTACTCCAAAGTGAAATAGATTCTGTCTTGTAAATTGTGTGATGCTTTACTCTCCAATAATCCTGTTCTGCTCTGTGTAGCGTACACCTTAAATCAATGGGATTATTCTTTGCTTGCATGCTCTTGCGGAATGTTGAAAACAATACGGGTAATATTCAATTTCTTTAATTCTCAGCTTCGAACTGAGCTTCCAAATTATTTGTTGTGATGAAAATTTTTGTCTTGTTTTGCCTGTCAAAAGTGTGATCATGAATTCAACAATAAATTTAGATGCACAATGCCAATCTCGTGTTTGTCATATTCATTTATGTTCTTTCTGTTTGTCTATGTTTATGTGATTTCATAACTTGCATGGGTTCTTCACAGGATTGATATATTTTTCTTCCACCTGGCCTTTTTCGGTATACCAATATCTGTGCCCTCGATTACCAGCCAGTTCTCTACCAGTGCGAAACATCTGGAATCAATTGAAGTGACCACCTAGCGTTGTAAGAATAAAAGAAGACCATTTTTTCAACATCCTCAACTTCAGTTTAGATAGGAAATGATGAAAATAAAATAGTTAACAACTTAAGCTGTATAATTAGAGGTGGTTAATAAATCTAAAGTTGAACTGATTTTGTTACCATGTACATAGTCCCTTGGCCATAATTTTATTCCATGTATAGACTCTGAAATTGTCATAGATATTCCTCCATGAAGCTTCTTTTTTCCTCTCTCAGTGGGATGACTTCCTGAATTGCTTCTCATAATTTTTTCTTTTTTAACTTCTCAAGAGATTTTAACATTAAAAATATGCCAAAAAGTTCCCCGGTGCTTTTTTTAAATGATGATAAGGTAAACCTGATCTTTTAATGTTTCTGTGGTGGTAATTCTTTATCATTTCAGATTGCATTACACATTAACTATCCTAAGTTATCATTAATGAATGCAAACAGTTTTCTTTGTTGTATCAGACCTTTCTATGATTCTATGATTTTTCTTCTGAAAGAATGTTTTCTTCCCGCACTGATTCAACATTTTCCATATGATGGTAGTTTTTCCATTACTCTTCAAAATATTTGCCATAAATATAGAGTTGAAGTTGCATCAATCTTTTTCCCCTTACATCACTAACGCTCTTAGAGTTGCATAAGTACTTCCTCCTACATATGCCAAGCTAATACTGACTAATGACATGGAGGGGAAATATTGGTAGTCTGTAAACAGTACTGAATGCACCTATCAAAAACATTTCATACTACTAGGATATATACTGCTATCTTCTTCCCAATCATACTTGCAGAAATGCTCTTTCTGCTTTGCATTATGTAGAGTTGACATGGGGTACACAGAGAAAGAAATCAATCTTCTTGACCCTGTTCCATAGCCTTGAAGCCCTCCTCCCTCGATTGATGCTACCATTAGTAGGCAGACAACCTTTCTTCATATTGGCCAGGCTGCCAAAGCAAGAAACATCTTCATTCACGTGAAAGCAGTCTTCCAGAGTCACCTCAGCTGGACTCTTACTGTTAGTCTTCACCGTGATGGCCTTACTTTTCTTCTCTTCTTCATGTTTGACAAGCTGATCATAATAATCCTTGTTTTTCTTCTCTAAACCACATATCTGCCCTTGAAGATCCTCGATTTTTCGACTCAGCATGCACACCCTGTGATCTTCCCTCAGCTTTAGCACACACCTTGCAAGATCAGCTGCCTTTCTTTTCATAAACAAAGATTCTGAAGTCAACCCCTTATTCTCTTCCAGCAATGCATTCACTCTGTAAACTAAACTGGCATTCTCATTCAGTAGTATCAGCCTCTCCGACTCCAACACATCCAACAAGCTCTTCTGCAACTCTATTTTCCTCGAGGACTCGCCCGACTTCCTCTCCATAGCAATGAGCTCATTTAAGATGAGATCACAGTCGACAGATTTCATGACCAGGTCTGCTACGATCATATCGGGATCCAGTGCTGCTGCTGCTGCTGGAAAGGGAGTCTGGTAAGACAGAGAGCTAGCGGCATCATCAGAGTCAATAACATCTCCTGCATCCTCCTCATCAAACTGATCATTCTCATTGAAATTGAAGGGCGAAATGGGAGACGAATATCGGCGCCTGTGATGATTGTTCTTGGCAAGGGCTTGGCAGTAGCGGTCTGCTAATGCAACGTAACCATTGTACAGTTCTTGAAGCAAGGCCAGCAGCTGAGGGCGCTTCTGATAATACTCCTCAGCTCGTTTTGCAAAACTGTCAGCACTGTCCTCTTCAGAAACATTTACTGCCAACATCTTCATTCTCTCGTCAAAATCTGCCACCAAAAAAAACTTAATTGCATTAAATGTTGATCCTGGACTACTTGTGCTATAGCACTATCAATCGTTTTAAAATTTAAAATTTTGAATTTAATTCTCACATTTTTTACAACAAATTATATCCACGGCAGCCAATGGACTCCCCTCCCCCTCCAACAAAAAAAAATTACAAAAGACCACCTAAAAAAATAGTTAAATAGAAAATCCCATCTCAGCTGCACATGTTAAAGCCCTGGCAAAAATTGGCCTCATTGACACGCAGCAAGGCAATGATTTGAAATTCGAAAAATAATGAGTTATGAAAGGGGATTGACATGTCACGGTCAGTGGCATGATAGAGGAGAAAAGCTCACATTTATCACAAATTGGAAGTATCCCAACATCTGAGAAAAGTTATGGGAAATGTAAAAGGTCTAAGGAATCTTATGGTCTGTTGGCTTTTTTTGTCAACATGGTCTGTCTCTCGAAATTCACCATAAGCGCCACAACAAATTATTTACATCACAATAGAACCCCAACTCACAAAAAAAAAAAAAAAAAACCAAACAAAGGATGATTAACTAAGAAAGGAAGTGTGACTGTTAAAATTGAAGATTTTTTTTGTAGAAAAAAACCTGACTTTAGGCCTATTTGACAAGTGAGTTTTTTGAGTGTTTGTCTAAAACTGTAGAAAAATTTTCAAAAATTTTTGAAGTATGTTTTTTTTGAATATTTTAAAGTGTATAATTTAAAAATTTTGAAAATTTTTTTGAAATTACTGTAACTAAAATTTTAAAAAAACTTGTAGTAGACAAATTTGACAAAAAACTTGTCTTCCAAACAAGACCTTTGTTTGTTTGGATAGAATATTATTTGAAATATTATTTGGAATAATTATTGAACACTTTTTATAATGTGATGTACGTGAAATAAAAAAAAAGTGATTGAAAATATAAAAAAATAAATTAAAAAATATATTTATGATGGAAAAAGAAATATATTATTTAAGATAATTTACTATTAAAACACTCCAACCAACATGGGTGCTGTACAATGGGCAGGTAATTTGTGATTACCCAAAATATAAGCTATGGATAGAAAGGTCCCGATCAGCTACGTCATAAAACTGATAAAAGACAAAAAGCTGTGCCCAATAATGAGGAAAAAAGATGAAATTGTCACTGTAGAGAATCAATCAGTCTCTGCAACACGGCATCTTAGTAGAAGTAGGTAGAGATCGAGGACTCTGCTCTTAAAACTTTTTCGAAATTTCTATTCAAATTTGAAATGAAACAGCAGAAATACAGGCCCATAAATAGGAAAGAAAGTGACCTCTTCCATCTCATGACCACCCCAATAGGAAGGAAATGAAAAATGTATAACCTCAATTTTCAAACATTATCAATTGTATCCATCTAACTATGTACAAATTAATTGTTAATTTAGCCCCAAAAACGATTCAATGAAACAAAAAAATGTTTTTTTTCTAACGAGTGTCTGATAAACGCTCGTTAACATATTTATAAATTCAATCTGACCTAACATGTATATACACATATTAATGATTATTACCCTCTCTTATATTTATCTGTCGTGTTAAATTGATCTCATATTTTTTTCATACATGTACTAGAACTTGAAGTACATTTTAACGAAATGCAAAAATGAAAATGTGATAGGGGATATATTTTGGCGTACGGCATGAAATTATTTCATACCCCTATTGTTGGATACGGAAGGTGGCAAAAGATTTTGCAGGTGGACAAAATTATTATTAAACGGACCACCTTACCTATTCAAACCCTGGCCCCGCCCAGTTCTAGTACCAGCAGCAATAAAAGTAGTACTGCCAAAGTCTAAATGGCTTTGCCCCCTAGCACCTAGCAAACCGGTCAGGCTCAGACCCTTTTCAACACTCCAACACGCACAAAAGTTCTACTCTCTTTCACATATATTGATATATATATATGGTGTCCAATAATATCACAAAATCAAATTCAAGAATTGAAATTGACAATAGTATAAGATGGCATTTAATTTGGGATATAAATTTTGTTAAGGATCCCAATGAGAAATTTGAATACTACAATTGGAGGTCAAAAATTAATGTCCAAAGAAAAGATTCAAAAGGGGTGAATGGAAAAATTAGTGGGGTAATAAATGGAGAGATGAATAGCATACCGGCGATGGTGAAGAGAAGCCAAGAGGGCCTGCCGGAGCTTCCACGGCGTGAATGATTAGAGGGTGGTGTAAGGATAGCACCACCACCTTCACCGCCACAACCACCAATCTTCTGCAATTTCATCTTTGTTGTTTCCATTTCACAGACAAACAAACTAGGACCTACACATGATGACAAGTTAAACACATTATTACCTTATTTATTAACATGAACCAATAATATTTTCTTTTTCCCTCCGCAAAGATTATTGATAACTGATAAGATGAGGACCTCAAACATCATAGAAAGTCCCTTTAGAACTCTCCAAACCCTACACAAAAGTAAGTCCCTTTTCAAAGTCTCCATCACTCTACAGCTAGCAATTGCATACAAGATCAGCTAATGTTACCTATTTTGCGGTTTGTGCTTTATTTTTTTTTTTTCTATAGAAGGACAAAAAAAAGTGACAATCACGTGCACTAAATTAGCTCAGCATACCCTCTCTAGAACCGAAAAAAAAAAAAAACAAAATTTTTTGTTGCCTCTCCAGTTGATTTTTCACTCAAAAAAATTCAAGTCTAGTAAATTTAATTATTAGCAATACTTCAAGATTTGATCTAAATAATTGAAAATGGAATTTTAGAACATGTAATTTTAGACTCATTAAATTAAGTACATGTGTGAGAATGTGACATGGGAAGAAATGGGGTGGCAGGCAGAGCAGCATATGATGTTATGATAGAAAAACCGTACCGTATATTTATTGATGTCTTATCATGAAACGACAATATTAAGGACCGAATAGAATAGAAGCCAGACAAACAGCTGTTGCTATGTGAGAAGATGGGAGACGAAGAAGATCAGAAAGAAACAAGTTGGAAGATGCAGATCTCGAGGAAAAATGTACTGCTGCTGCTGCCTGCAGCATGTCATTAACTACTTAATTAATTGGCTGCAATTATTAATTCCACCTGCTTATCACCACATTAATGCACTACTATGACTGCTAAAGACAATGCAGTTAGCAGAAAAAAAAGAAAACAACATCATCTGGGCTCTCGTTCTCCACTCGTATTTATGATTATTCAAACTCTAAAAGTTGAAATCAGATGGGAAAAAAAGTGGGATTAGGATCAAAATGATGGTAATTTCTTTAAAATCACTTTCAGTGACAACTGTGATCCATAAGAAA